ACCCTGCCAACACTCTCCTGACTGTCCCAGCCTCACAGACATGTCTAAACAACTGAGGCTGGGGCTGAGATTCAATCTGAGTCTAGAATTGCTGTCTGACCCAGGGAGAAAGGCGAGAATTAGTGTTTGGTGACAGTGCAGACAGGCTGGTTCAATGGGGCCCTTTATACGAAGGTTTGCAAGTTCAGCACTCAAAAGGTTGTTGTTTTTTTTCTTCAGTATTTGGCCTGCAGTTAGGGTGGTCAGCATAGGGAAGAAGTGTCTGGGTTCCCTGCCGTGTGAGTAATATGCTTCTACAAGATACACCTTTGTACAAACATCATTTCAACAGAAAAAATAACTAGGTGCTTCAGAAATGGGAACTTCAAAGACATTTCAAGCACATTATATACAACTGAAAGATGTAAAGAAATTGGAGGCACAGAAAAAACAATTTTTATAAAAGTGGGGGATTTAGTCTTTATAAAGAAAGATGAAAGAAGCGGTGCATTTAGACTAGAGATGCCAAAAGAAGAATTTAATGAATTGTCAAGCATATGAAGGGACAATACATGATCAGTAATAATGAGCTTTCATCTGCTGCTTCTGAGGACTCGCTAAAAGGGAAAATTTAAATTGTGACAAGAGAATTGAAGACAGTCAGTACCAGGATCTGTTCCCACAAGAAGGACTAGAAATAAAGCTCTGTCTGTGGAGATTAAATAAATAAAAGGCAAATCTATCAGACACGAGAAGGCTCCGTTGTACTTAACTTCAGGATAATTGCCACTTCTTAAGCAATCACTCTGTATGAGGCCTTATCCGAGCACTCTATGCCATCACAGTTAATCTTTACAACCACTGTGGGTGGTGGATACCATCACATCCTTCATTGTTACAGCTGAGACAACCCAGGCTCTGGGTGGTTAAGTAGCTTGTCTAAGGGACAGTGAGGTGGTCTGCAATGTCAAATCCATGTCCTTTTGTCTTGAGAGCCTGTTTTCTGCAGCATATAGCTTCTTCGGTGTAATAATACTCCATCTTACAATGTCCTTTCTTTTACTAATTGTTGTCCAGTTTATATTTCCCATATCCCTCTTTCCAAACAAAATAATCTTGCCCTGATAACTGGATTAGAATGACCAGATGGTTATATTAGCAACCCCATATACATCTCTGTGCAGAATGGACTTTTGGACTTTGGACCATATTAAAATTAAGCTGGAACAAAGGTCAAAATAAAGGAGAGAGACATGCTATCTCATTTTCTATTATTCTGGAAAATGTAATAACAGCACTCTGGCACCACACACACACACACACACACACACACACACACACAGGCACGCATGCACTGTGAGAAACAGGTAGGGAAAGATGCATGCCCTTATTGAAACAAAAATCTAATTAGGCTGTAATTGAATCCATACTAATGTATAAGGGCTGGGCAAGTAGGATATTAAAAGGAATGATTATACACTGGTAGCAGAACAATTAGATGGTCAACAAATCGGAGATTAAAGTTGATTACATTTATATGCATATATACTGGTTTCAGATTTTTCAGCAAGTTCAGTTTCTTTGCACAATACAGATAGCAAACCACCACTGATGGCTGTCCTCAGTGATTTTTGGGTGTTTTCTTAAAGTGCTGGTCCATGCACCACCATTTTGCTGCAGAAAGAATGACAGTTCAGTTTAAATACTGACTATTGGGCTCTACTCCAAGGTCACTGTAGGTGTAGTCAAGATATGAATGAACACGGTCCTCATAAGACAGTAACAGAGAGTGAGAGGAGAGGGGAAATGTACAAAGAAAGGCAAGAGAAGCCAGGAGTGGTGCTTAGAATCATGTCTGAACTATTGCTAAGTATGACATATGTGAGGATAAAGACTTTTGAATGGAGGTACAGCATAGTTCAGGCCACCCTTTTGAAAGAGTAAGATGGAAATAATAAATAGGGACCATCTACCTGACTTCTACAAGGTAATGCCATAAAATTGCTTCTAATTCAGTGCTTCTTAACTTTGGCTACACATTAGAATAGTCTGGGAGTGAGTCCACCATGACAGTTCCCATATACATCCATAGCTGAAAAACAACGTGGTAGGTACATATCACATTTGTCTACTTTTCATTACTGATTTCCACTTAAAACTCATAATGATTTTCCTTATCATTGAGACTGTTAGATAGGTTTAGGGTGGTCATTCAGCTAGAAAATAGCCAGGCTGGGGCTAAACTGAAACATTATGATCCCATAGGTTGTACTTAGGGCAACTTCTTTGCACTGTGATCCCAAGGCCAAGCCCCATCCTCCCATGCTGGAGCTGTCACTCTATCAACTTCTTGGGCCTCCTCTCCCATATTATTACCTCCTTTTAATACAACCTGGATGACAAAGCCAGTGAACTCTTTTCAATGGAACCACTGCAGTGCTCTTGCTCACAAATTTCCACTGGTTTTCAAGGGCATTAAAAATACTGAAATCCAAATTCCTTTTCCATAGCCTCTCACAGTCTTGCATGTTCTAACTTCTGCTCATCCCTTCAGCCTCATCTCATCACTTGCCAGTTTCAACCACAGTTACCTTATTCCAACCACACTGCTCCTCAGACTCTTGGAATGCTTCAAGCACTTCCTTTCCTAGGGCCTTAAAACTATTTTTCATCTCTGTCTGGAATTCTCTTCCCCAGGTTCTTTGCATGGATCGCTCCTTTTCATCTTTCAGATTTGAATTTCAAGATTCTCTATGCAGTGCCTTCCTTACATTCAAGCTTGAACTTAAGATTTTTTAAAGTCATATTTTATTTATTGCTTTAATAATATTTATATTGTCTATATTTAGATATTTGCATGCATATTTTTGTCTATTCTGGTGAAATATGAGTTCTAGAAGGGCAAAAAACTTATCTTTGCTATGGCTGTGTAGGTTGTGTCCTGCTGAAGTGTGCCTCAGCTGGAGGTATAAATATATAAGGACTTTCTGGAAAATGACAATAGAGTATCCTAAGTATGGGGTTCCTTTTTGTAAGTCACATAAAAATGATAAATAATCTATCAAGTCCCATATGCATATATTATATACACAGATTTGGGCATGGTTTAGTTTAGTTTAACATACTGGAGATGCTTGATATATTCATTGATTGTAGGTAGCTAAAAAAGAAATTATTAATATTGCCAATGGGAAGGACTAGAAAAGACTGCTGATAGATTTGGTAATTTGAGAAGAGGCAAACAAGACCAAGTTAAAGGTGACTAAGTACGAGCCCAGGAGCCTAGGAAGAAAATCTGGTACCACCGTAAAACCAAAATAGGAGCTAAAGAAGACAAGACAGGTTTGAGGTGACAAGTCCTTTTAGTATATAATTTGAGACCATTTTTCTTTAACTAAGACTACCACAACCTTCAGAGATGGGACAGGTATTTTGCTCGTTCCTAAATTCTGCTACTCTGGATGGCAATCCTCAGATTCTTGGGATACAGGACACTTACCTCTGCATACTCGGCAGCAAGAATCTGGAACAGATACTGGGAAGGCACAGGTCAGTTTAGGGCAAGTCTTGAGACCACAGTACACATTCCCTTCCTGCCAAGGAAAACCAGAATCAGTTCCAGGCTGATGTGAGATAAGTATTTGTCAGGGATTACCTCAGTACCTGGGATACAACTGGGACTCAAAACATGACACTGCTCTCTTACAGCTAGTTTTAGGTTCATCATCCATTTTCTTATGCTTTATTTCATTTCCTATTTCTTCAAGAGAGAGATGAACTCCACAAAGAGAGAGTAGTCTTTGTCAGGTTTCCAGGCCCAAGAAAACAGACAGCATTCTGGGAGGGCCGCCACCAGCATCCAAACTTTGTTCCTCTCTCTTAATTTTACTATATCCTTTGGTCCTTATAACATCTAGCTGTTGGGAGTGGATGGGAATGAGAATTTGTGACATAGCCACTATTCACAACATTCAGTAGCATCTTCTTTCAAAACCCAAAAGATAGCTATCTTGGGGGGGGGAATGAAATTATACCAGGTGATTTTAATTTCACAGCTAAATCACATCCATGTGAGGCAAGGGAGAGGAGCCACTTTACTTGGAAGTTCTATCTAGTATTCAAATAATTTCCATTTCCTAGAATTCTACTTTTTAAATGTTATCTCTTAAACTTTGTGCTTTGTTCTTGGATACACATCCTACTAAGGCTTGAAAGGCCATTAGAGAAATAATGTCCCAATAAAATTCTTCCAGGTTACTGAGATATAGTATTTTTACTACAAATCCCAACTGGAAGCGATTCTATCATCATCCTTAGTACTCCAGTGTTTATTGCCCCAGTCAGTTAGTAAAGATGTTTCTACGTTCCTTCCAGTTTCATTTTTTTATTGTTTTATTGTTTGCTGTAATTTTTGAGGCAAGGTCTTGCTGTGTAGCTTGGCTTGTTCTCAAACTTGTGACAATCCTCTAGCCCCACCCTCTCAATGCTTCATCTTCTTAAAACATAATATTTTACTATTCTTTGAGGATTTCAAGCACACCTATAATGTATTTTGATCACATTCTTACCTTATTCCTCCCTTAACACCTCCCAGATTCACCACCATCCTCATCCCCTCCCAATGCCTTGTACTTTTTTTTGTAAAACATTGAGTCTATTTGTATCACTCATATACTCTTGGGCTTGAGGGGCCATTCACTGGAAAATGAGCTACCTACCAGGAGCCACACCCTTAAGAAAACTGATGCCTCCTTCAACCAAGAAGCCACTATCTTTTTTCTCTCTGAGAAGCCATTGATTAATCCCCTCATGCTTCATTCTAAATATCTATTTTATACTATTTTATTGTTCTAACAATCTCTGGATTACACAATTAGGTAAAGATACAGTTTCTATACTTTATAAAGTATATAGTGATGAATAATGCCACGGGAATTGTTGTGAGCAGCATTAACATAATTTCTCACTGTAGGAAACTGGAAATTGACTACCTATAAGTAATAAGATGAAAGGAATAGGGATGTGGACCAGTGATGGGAGTGCTTAGGAATAGGACAGGGACAAACAGATGTCCCGTGTTTGTTTGTTTGTTTGTTTGTTTTCTTCAGATTGCATCAAGTAACCCTAGAACAATGCTAAGTGTTCTTCTACCTATGGCATTACCAACAATTCAATAACTATGAATCCTTCAGGTGAAGGGTTAGGTGGTGTAACTATTTAGGAAAAGTAGGTGCTGATTAAGTCAAATAGCCTATCTTTGACTATTTCAGCACTCTTACGGCTGTAAGCCTTGGATACATCTGACTTTTAGCTCTTTTACAATTGCTCAAACTTGATGAAGATGAGGTAATTTGGAGAGGTGGGGAGGCTTTAGATAAATACACCTTATCTTCATTCAAACACCTTATATTCTCGGCTTCACTGAAAACACAAGGACAGAGGCAGCTACTTTCCGATCTGGGGAGTGACCAGCAGGGGCATTAAGACACAGGGTCTTACCGAGCAACTACACTGGGTGCACTGATTGGGTTGCCGGTTCTGAAAGAGCCCTTCAGCCATAAACAGTTCTCCATGTTGGTAAGTGGTTCCATTGTACTCACATGACTTGCTGGTCACCTTATTGTTCACTGGAGGTAAGGAATCTTCTGGAACAGAGTGGAGGAGAAAAAAACAAAACAAAACACATCAAGTATTGGCACGGTTGCAAAGAATTTCATAATTCCCAACAGCAGATGGGGCTGTACTACACAGAGGGAATTAAAACACAATCCTTGCTCCTAGGTTAGAAAACCTAGGTATTATTAAAACAGTCAGCCACAGAGGAATTACAGCCAACCATCTATGGTTATATTTTCTTAAGAATTAGTGAGCACTTCTTCTACGCCAAGCACTATCATAAGCATTAGAGACACCAGGACAAGGCCTTGCCTTGATTGAGCTAATAGTTGGTCCAGTATGAATAAAATAATGACTTACATAAAAAGGAGTCCATACTACCACTATGTAGTCTTCTTTTAGACCTTCAGAGAAACCATCTATTATCTAGTCTACCCTGGAAACAGTAACCCTCTCCATGTTTTACATAGTTTGTCATCCATTTGTATATAGACATTTTTGTATAGCTTATCATATGTTTCCTCTGGTCTCTCTTGTTGTTATTTATAGTTAATTCCTCCACCAAGGCAGCCTTCCTCTTCTACTATTTTCTACCTGTTGAAGGCCTTGACTATATAGGTTCAACTCTCATTGCTTTTTTCCACAAAGTATTGTGCAATAATTCTAGCCAGTGCTCTGGACCTCTCAAGGAACCTGATGTCTAAAGCACACAACCTGGAACTTGAATATTGCTGGAATGTGTGACTATGGTCACCTAGAAAACAGTTTACAAAGAGGCTACATATGTGTTATTAAAAGTGATGTTGAATAAAGTGGGTTAGATTTTTCATTTCACTTTTTATTGGAGAGGCACAAATCATGAGACTGACTTCCCTGAAGTAACAAAACTAGTAAATGGTGAAAAGGAGAAGCAAATCATGACATCCTCCTATTAGCCCGTTTACACCTGTGTATGAATTGTTTTTGAAACTGAATCCCTTTTGTGTATTTCCACTTCAGAGTCTAGAATACAGTTGCCATATAGAAGAAAAGTTAGTTTACTCAGTGAATTTACTTTAAGAAAATGATCTCTGGATGTTGTTTTGTTTTTTGAAACAGGGTTTCTCTGTGTAGCTCTGGCTTTGTAGACCAGGCTGGCTTTAAATTCACAGAGATCCGCCTGCCTCTGCCTCCTGAGTGCCGGGATTAAAGGAGTGCGCCACCACAACCTGGTTGAAAGCTTTATCTTTGGGTGTTAGGATGACATTCCTGCCAGCCTGGTCCCAGTGCCGCATCAGCCCCAAATAACACACAGAGGCTCTATTAGTTATAATGTTGTTGGCCAGTATCTTGGGCTTCTTATTGGCTATTTCTGTCTTAAGTATTAACACATAACTACTAAGATATGTATTTGTACAAAGTCTTCTCTTACTGAGAACGCCAGACTCATGTGTCCTCTCCTCCCAAGATCACATGACACCTTCTCCTTACTACACTTCCAAGAATCCCTCTTGTCTCCTAGTCCTGCCTGTCTTGCTATTGGCCAACAGTGTTTTATTCATCAACCAATAAGAGAAACATGCGTACAGAAGACATCCCCCTTCAACTGGGTTTCCTTTAGTATATTCTGTACTGTATGGGTATGCATGCTCTTCATCTCTGTTCATCTCTGTCTGTCTGTTTCCTGTATCTCTGTCTCTCTCTCCTACACACACACACACACACCAGTGCACACAAAAATAGTAATGATTATGTTCCAAGTTTGACCTAATTATTGACATGTGGAATATGTTTGCCACATGATGGTGGAAGAGGTGAAATCAGAGAAGCAATGGGCTTCTTTAAGGAGAGGCTTTGGGAGTGGGGCAATTTTATTGTAAAATATATAATGAGTAAGAGTTCATTTTATGTGGATAAATTATATGTCACTATAACTGCTAAATACTAACTGATGGGGCTGGAGTGATGGCTCAGAGGTTAAGAGCACTGACTGCTCTTCCAGAGGTCCTGAGTTCAATTCCCAGAAACCAAATGGTGGCTCACAACCATCTGTTATGAGATCTGGTGCCCTCTTCTGGTGTGTAGATATACATGGAAGCAGAATGTTGTATACATAATAAATAAATAAAATCTTAAAAAAACAACTAACTGACATTATTCATAAGATACAGTACAAATGACAAAGGTTTATCATAACAGTATCTTTCATCATCATCACCATCATAATATAACAACAGTCAAAATTTACTGAGTCCTAAGTATACACTGTGTACATGGTGTTTTTAAGTACATTATTTCATTGGTGTTTACCAATAGCATTCTGATGTATATATGATAATGCAATTTTACAAATGAAGAAATCAAGAATTAAGAAATATAATGACCAGACTTTGGAGTATAGGTCAGTGGTAGAGTGCTTGGCTCCAAGTTTGATGTGCAGTACCACAAAATTAATTTATCTGTCCAAGGTCATTTAACTTGTAATTGGAAGCACTAGGATATGGACTGACACCTGCTTCTGAAATTCCTTCCTATCTACTATCAAGAAAAGTGCCAATCACTTCAAACCTGTAGCAAGAAAAGGATCATTTAATTAAAACCTAAGCCTAAACCGAAAGGTCATGAGAGCTATGGTGTCTTATTACAATTCTATGTGCAAAAATACCCAGAAATTTTTACTTCAATGATTTGGCTAAAATTCGGTTTTCTACTTTTCTGTATAAGTTGATATGACTTTGACTGTTATTCCCTTGGATGTTAATTACTTATCCATAACCCTTATAGTCTGTAAGAATAGTTCCTGCATTTTGCCTTAGAAATATATCCTTAAGACAGATTTATTCCATAATAATTTTATTTTTTGTCTGGGTCATGAGTCCCTGGCCCTGCCCATGTGTGTATATAAACAGACAACTGCAGCTGGCACAAATCAGTGGAACTCTTTGGAGAAAGGACAGGATCAGGGCCATTTGCCCCCTGGGCTCTAATTATTCTAAATCTCAGCATTTTGTGGTAAAGAAAATGTACAGTGACCTACAAAACAATATTTGCCGTGGCTCTCTCAGAAGCTGGCAGATCTTTGGAACACACACAAAAAACTTCAGAAATATTTAGTCTCAAAATAATGTGGATTGATTCTTAAACTGGGCCTTCCACTAAGACATCAATGGCAGGGCAACTGCAGGGAGAGGTTTTCCACTGGACACATGACCTGTAGAGTCCTCCTTGCTGCAGTCTTCAGAGCAATGTGGCACTGGAGACTACTAATCTACTCACCAGAATATGGGGAGAGAGCAGAAGACAGAGGCAAATAGCAATAAAAGAAAATGAGAGAAATTCTTGTCTACCATTTCTTATGCAACTCTCTCGGTATCTTCACTCATTTTACTCTTCCAACATTCTTAATGGTTTAGGGAAGAAAATTATGAAAATGAAGCCACAGATAACCTGAAAAGACCCATGTTACAAAGCTGCTAAGTAGGAGAGTAGACACAGAAACAGTTCTTCTGCCTTCCAGTGTGTGCTTTTATTACAAATGGGTACCAAGATTGTGGAATAGTATCTATGAATAATTATGGTAACCCTAGTATCAACTTCCTATAACTTTGCACAAACTACTTACCCTTGCTTCGGCTTAATTTTTCTATCTAAGAATGGGGTACTCGTCTCAAATCTCCCTGAATCTTTATACAGCCAACACAGCTTGCTTCCCAACCACACAAGCAAGAAAAGCCACCCAAGTCTCTATCCTCTCTCTTCCCAGATTTTCTGAGGTGGCTGGGCTTTGAACCAACTATCCTTGGAACATATTCAGTGCTCCTAGCTGAAAATTGGCAGGAAATCGGTGTAAACCCAAGCTGGCTCCAATACCCCTCAGGAGAATACTATAACAAAAGTATCCCAGCTGCATAGCTTCTAGTCTCCCCATGTCCCCTGTTTCTACTTATTTTCCCACAAAATACTATGAAAAGTAGTGGAAGAGAGACACCATGAAGAAATCAGACCAGCATTGAGACAGCATTACAGAAGAACTGGGAAAGAAGCTGTTTCCCTCTCCTTACATGATGATGACCTTATAAATAAACAGAACTATGATTTCTGACCGGCTTAGAGAACACTTCCTTACCCTAAATATTTATTACTTCTTTTGCTCTTATCAAACTCTAAAATACTATTAGAGATTCATCCTACTGCCTAAGTGATTGCCAACTGTCAATTAGATTTTACAATCCAACAAACTTTCCTGGGAATCAAAATACCTCTTCCAGAAGGAGTTAAGACTCAGGAGGTTGTCACACGTCTGGGAAGGCTGACACTTAGAAAATTCTGGAAGACCCTGACCTTCTTTATAAAAACAGTAAACAACTGCTGCAGGAAGAGACTCTGGCTAGATAGTGGCAGAGAAAGGACTTTTAGATCTGTTGAGTTGTCTGCAAGTTGTGCAGAGAGCTCCAAGAATGTGGCTTTAGTGAGTTGTCACCATTTGGGAGGGATTTAATTATCTATGTATCTATGTATCTATCTATGTATCTATCTATGTATGTATGTATGTATGTATGTATGTATGTATGTATGTATGTATGTATCTATCTATCTATCTATCTATCTATCTATCTATCAATCATTTAACAAATGCCTTCAAGTCACCTCTGCTCCTATAAGTAACTCCTAACCCATACTCCTGTTAGTAACCCCAATGAAAACTCACTGGTTGACCAAGTTGAACTTTGATGCAATTGTTAACTGTGGTCTGTTGTGGGTTCTCTTTCTGAGGTGAGTAGATGTGTGTGCACGGCATCTTCCTAGGAAAAGTCAGTCTCCTACACAACAGCGCTGCCACTAATATCTTAGTAGTAATAACTGCGGAATAGTCTGTTTATTCTTTTTTTTTTCCTCTTCAGAGTACCAGGAAAATTGTACCAAAAACTCTGTGTTCCCATCCCACATCCTTTTGCACATCATTCTTTTCCTGCTTGGTGCTATCCTTCTCTGAACTCCCTGGTTTCTCTCTTCCTTATTCTCTTCACCATCAAGCTGTCTCTCTCTTAGC